TATCAACTACATCAAAAAGAAGGATTGGGTGGAGGAGCATGACTCCTCAAATGTCATCATCTCGCTTTGGACTACATCAGCAGCGAGGATCCACCTTCTGCATGCCATGCAGAAGGTTGTCAGAACACAAGGTTGCCAGCTTCTCTACACCGACACAGATTCTCTAATCTTCTCACATCCCACCAACAATTGTCCGCTTCAACTTGGGCCTCATCTGGGGCAATTCACAGATGAGTACCCCGATTTCAACATCTTGGAATACTGCTCTGGGGGCGCCAAACAATATGGTTTGAAACTACAAAAAAAGACTACTCCCAACAATGAAGCAGACTACGTTCTCAAGGTCCGTGGAATGACGCTCAATTGGGATGTGATCAACAATCAAGGCCTCTGCTATGAAAACTTCAAGAAGCAAGTTTTTGATTTTGTTAATTGTGATAATATCCCCCTTTTAATTAAGTACCCTAATTTTCTTAGACCATCTATTAAAGATGGGTCCATAACTACTCAGTCTCGTACAAAAATTTATAAACCTTATGTAGGAAAAGGTATTGTCCGCCCTTCTGATTTTGTTGTTCAAAATTTTGGTCATATTAATGACAAACATCCTCGAATTTTGCTGTGAATTCTACAAGAGTTGGAAAGTAGCCAGGGGTATGGGCACCCAAACTCTATACCAACTATCGTAATGTTGTGAGGTAATCCTCGCATGTAAAATCGGTGGTAGTGGACTTGAGTAAATTCTCAAGTCCCTGGTTGAGTTTGGTGATGCCTGTCGAATGGCGAAGCCACACTCCTATCTTATCTATTCTTACCTATTTTTCTATTTTGTAAATATTGTAAATATTTTATTCACATTTTTCTATTTTGTAAATATTGTAAATATTTATTCACATTTGTAAATATTTTATTAACAATTTTTCTATATAATTTTTTATTTGTGATAAAAATTTAAAATACATTTTGAAAAAATTTATAATTAGGAGTTACATGTTTTAGGGGTAAAAATACATAATTAGTAAAACAAAGATACAATTTTAAAAATATTAAAAAATTTTGGGAATTAAGACATAGCTTTTAGGGGAGATTTTACACAATTAGTGAAACAAAGTAGCAGATTTCAGAATTAAGAAAAAGGAGTTGTTAATTTTAGGGGTAAAATTACATAATTAAGAAAAAGAAGATGAAATTTATCAATTTTCATCTTTTTTACTGTGAGATAGGCGTGCGTGTGTAGAGGGCGCGCGTGTGTTGAGAGTGCGTTCACCAACCATCTTGACTAAAATCTCCTCTGTACATCTCCATCTCTTCCTCAAATTCTTTATCCATAATTATTTCGGGGCTATCTGGTGGCGAAGAGATACTAAGCTTTTCTTCAAATTCAGATGATAAACTTTTATGTTGATCTTCGTCTTCAACAAATTCCAATAGCTCGATAGGATAAAATCGATCTTTATCCCAGAATCGTCGCTCGATAACACAATTTAGATAAGGATTTTTAAGTTGAATTCGATGTCTTGTATAAAAATGTTGAGCGATGCTAACATTATAGGGTCGCCTTAAAGGTCCATAAGCGCGAATTTTATTGGCACCCTTTCTTGTGAGGCCGCCGAATAGAAACGTCTTCTTTTCTAAATCTCTATTCAAATACGTCGTGCGGACCTTACGATCCAAAAATTTTGTTAATATACGAATTCTTGTTTCGGGAATATTTAGATGACAACTTAGACTTCGGACTGAACAGTCGAGAAAACGTGCAATTTCATCTATGACAAGAACCATTGTGAATGTTTGAAATGGAAAAAGAAATTTTTCTGAGTTTATATATTCATCTAAATAGGGCGTGGCCTACTTTCATTCTTATTTAGTTGCGACCTAATTTGATAAATTCCACATAAAAATAAAAATCATTCATGAGTGAAGAAAGTGACGAAATCATAAAGTATGTTAAGGGCGTGCGCGAGTATCGCGAATTTAAAATAAGAACCTATGTGCATTCAATCAATGATGCTCTAAAACAACACATTCAACTTGATATGGGAGCAAGGCTTTGCATACTTATTAATTACTTTCGCGCAGGAAAATGGTGTGATGAATGCCTTAGTTTTGTCGTGAGCCAATTTCAAGATGATATACTGATGCCCAAGGATGAAAAATATTTTTCATACGCTTTTTATCTTTGTCCAGAATGTGCTGATATTACCAAAACATATCTCGATAATTTATAATTTTATTCACAATATTTTTTACAAATAAATCTGGGTTATGAACAATGTTTAACATTTTAAGATATTGGGAAAATGTATAACCTTTAGAAAGAAAATAAATAAGAGAAATACAATGGTGGGCACAATAATTAGAATTAAGGGATTGGTATGGTCTTAGGTTTCTATTTACAATAGAAAAATCTTTTAAAAATGAATCGATAATACAAATACTAGTGGGTAAATTTAAACTATCAAAATAGACTACTTGTTCATTTCCTTGAACGTAAATTGAAATCCAATGTGAACCTGCAAATCCTTTAGGGTCCAAGTTTACAATTAAGGCTTTGCCTTCTACAGGGTTGGGTAGATTGTTACACGGAAAGCATCCCTGGAAGATTTTGTTTGTGTAAGGATTTGAGCTCAATATTTTTGTAATCTGATTGCTGTCCATTATTCTTATAAGATTTTAACCAAAAAATTGAACGAAGTTGATAAATAATTAAGCTTCCTATTAGCATAATATATAGTCCTATCATTCCCCAGCAAAACACATGGCCATACAAGTCCGTAGGGCTTTCCTTACATAGAGTAGGTAGATTCTCAAATGGGAAGGTTGCAAAGGCTGGTATAGAAGCGGATATTCTTGGTTGGGTTGTATTTTTCTTTGGAAATCCTAATTGACGTAGATAGGCTGAATACTCAGGGATCTCCTCTAATTCATCCATCGCTTCTTTATATAGTCCTACACACGGAGCAAATATCCGAATCAAAAATAAAGTTACTAAAATTCCTTTCATTTATTCAAATGGTGGTATCACTTGCTATTGTCCGATTTTTATCTAGCATTATAAGGGAGTCCGCCTCGCCCATAACAACGAGCATGACCCCGCCCTCGGGGACAGGCTGACTGAATTTGATGTTTATGGCTGTAGTCCCGTTTTTAATTAGATCAAATGTCCCACTATTATCGTCCCCACTATTTGTCAAATTAAAAACATAAATACAGTGAGTTTTTCCAAACTGTTGGTAAGTGATTCCATTATTTTCAGAAGTATTTGTAAAACCAATAGCCTCATTCATGTCGTGAAAGGCTCTTACATATCTTCCATTCTTATAATCAAAGTCATAAGATGCCTGTGGGTATGGTCGTCCATTTGCTATAATACTAATTTCTCTAACATTAAAATGTTGAAAGTTGAAAGGGCTTCGATTTATCGATCCAACATAATCGGAGTTTGCAACTAGACCTAATGTAATTCTTCTAGGAATTTGATCCATGAACAAGTTTGCATTAAATTCATATCTACCCTGGCTTATGAAAAGCGGTTTCATCATAGTTTTTCTTATTGAATATCTTGCAGGTTTAGTTTCAAGTTTTCTGGCAATATCCAGAGAGAGTCCATCCATAAGATCAATCTTTTTTACATATAGCTTACAGCTTACAACTTCAAAATTATAGGTAATTGGTTGGTCAATCCCAAGTACCGGAGGAGCAATCAATACAAATTTCGTGTCATTAGGAAGTAATTCAATATCAATTTCACAATGATTTATTAGATAGAGAGGTTGGTTGAATATATCTGCATCAAGTTTCGAAATGAATTGTGCCGTCTTACTTGAAGAAAATAAATTTTTTCTTGCATTATACGCTGTGCCATCCTCAAGTTTTATGTCCGAATCATAGTAATATCCTGCAGCGTTCAAATGGGAATTTTTTGCCCCTTGAGAATAAGAAAGTTCGTGTGAAAAATAAGTCTTGTAGGCATAGAGCGAGTTTGAATTAAATATTTCCCTACCATTTACATTAATTCGCATATTATTTATAAATGTTTGACCTATTAGTTGTATAGGAGCAACATTATCAGTTGCAGCGAGTTTGACCAATCTTCCATCATCGCCCTCCTTCTTTATACGAAATTCAGTAAATAAATAAATTTTAGACAGATCGATATAATTTTGACTACTATGAATTTTAAAATGATATGGTGTATCAGTAAGAGGATTACTTGGTAAAATTTCAAAAACCTTGGATGAAGAAATGCTCACATTTGTTGGTGGGACTTGGAAAAAATCAAGAGCATTTGTAATAGAATTTATACTATCTTTATCAATTTTGTGGAAACGAAACTCATTTTTAATAAAAACCAAAAGCGTCAGATTTTAATCTTTTTCTTTTAATAACTGTTTGATGACTAGGAATTGTCTTTCTTTTTATACCCCTTCCTGATCCAAATTGTTTAGGTAAACCTCCTTTTTCAAGCACTGTATCAATTCCCTTCTTTCCTTCACTGACTAAAGCTTCTTTTATAGGTTCTCCTTGGATTACCCTTCCCAATGCACGTTGACCTGTATTTAATGCCTCTTCTGAGACAGTCGTGCCTACACGACGCATAATCGGTAGAAAAAATCTCCAAAGTCCTCTCATAACATCTCCAATTCCAGCCCCTTTCTGCCCATATCCTCTTTGAAAAGGAGCTGTACCCTTAAAATAGTCATCTGTAATTCCACCTCCCTTCATTGGAATAAAGTCATCATAGCTTACAGTACTAGTATCAAATAAAATGTGCACCATTTTTAATTATGAATGAAAAAATCAGAAGTTTATCACCTTCTTAAATATCAGGACGATCAGCACTGTACCGAATTCAAATGGTACAGGTCGACCGTTATCCATCGTTCTGAGTTCAATCTCAATCTCATTTACTTCTTTGGGTAATACTCGTGCGTAGATTGGGGAATCATATATTTTCTCATAATATTGTCCTGGGGTGGCTCCAGCAACAGAAACAACTCTTAGTAGTGAACTAAGTGAATTGCCTATAATCATACTTTCTGTAAGACCTCTTGAATATACAGCGAAGCTTGAGAAACCTCCTCTTAGATCACAACCATATTTGGCAATTTCATTGTTTTGAACCATATTTGGGTTTTGAAAGCCTAATACATAACCTAATTGATTTGAAAAAGAAACATATTTGATGCTTGGGTGTGTGAATGAGACTTTAAATCGTTCAAAGTCGCTATGATAAAATAATTCTATTGAATCTATAATTTGTTTTTGTGTTGTCGAGTCTACCTTGCCTACTTTACCATATTTTTTTACAAGGATAGGCATATTTGGAAGATAATTTATTCTTGTCTGAGGTGTTACTTTCTGTCCAAGCGTCGAAAGTACATGTGTAAGTACTCGTTCATATTCTTCAGTCCATAAAGGATCACTAAATGTAGCTTCAGGCTTTGGGAGTTGTGGAAGTGTAGGTGAACTGGGTAAAGACTGTCTTTCAGCTGATGATGAGGGAGATGCATCTCTCAATTCTTCTTCTTCGCTATCTTGTGTCAAAGGTAGAGAAATTGGTAAGGAAGGTTGTGTTGATTTTAGTTGAGTGAGTTTCGTTGGAAGTTGAGGAGTAGTAGGTTTCGGAGGTTGTGGTGTAGGTTTGGGTTGAGGTTGAGGGGGTGTAGGTTTCGGAGGTTGTGATGTAGGTTTGGGTTGAGGTTGAGGTGGTGCAGGTTTTGGAGGTTGTGGTGAGGGTTTTGGAGGTTGTGGTGTGGGTTGAGGTGGGGTGGGTTTTGGAGGTTGAGGTGTAGGTTTGGGTTGAGTGGGTTTTGGGGATTGAGGTTGTGGGAGTTGTGGTGTGGGTTGAGGTGTTGGTTTAGGAGGTTGAGGAGTGGGTTGTGGAACGGGTTTTGGGAGTTGTGGTGGGGGTTGAGGTGTAGGTTTTGGAGTAGGTTTTGGGAGTTGTGGTGTGGGTTGAGGTGGAGTGGGTTTTGGAGGTTGGGGTGAAGGTTTTGATGGTTGTGGCGGAGGTTGTGGAGTAGGTTGTGGAGCGGGCTTTGGAGGATGTGGTGATGTTTGTGGCGGAGGTTGTGAAGTTGGTTTTGGGGGTTGTGGAGGTTGCGGTGTAGGTATAGGTTGTGGAGTGGGTTGTGGAGTTGGTTGTGGTGAGGGTTGTGGTGGAGGTTGTGGAGTTGGTTTTGGGAGTTGTGGTGTAGGTTTCGGAGGTAGTGGTGCAGGTTTTGGAGGCTGGGGAGTTGGGTGAGGTATAGGTTGTTGAGTGGGTTGTGGAGTGGGTTGTGGTGTTGGCTTTGGGAGTTTTGGTGTGGGTTGTGATGCTTGTTTTGGAGGTTGTGGTGTAGGTACGGTTGGTTGTGATGTAGGCTTAGGAGGTTGAGGAGTGGGTTTTGGAAGTTGTGGAGTGGGTTGTGGTGTAGGTTTTGGAGGTTGTGGAGTGGGTTTTGGAGTTTGAGGAGTTGGCTGAGGTATAGGTTGTGGAGTGGGTTGTGGTGTAGGTTTTGGAGTTATTTTAGTAAGTTTAGGAGATGTACTACGAGGTGAAGACTCTAGTTCCCTTTCTGCAGAGGATGAAAGGGCTGGGCGTCTAAGTTCTCCTTCTTCAGAAGAAGAACGTGAAGCTGCCTTAAGTTCTCTTTCACCAGAAGGTTTTTTATTAGGTGGTTCTTCTTCTTCGGTCGATGATGAACGAGTTGGCATTTTAAGGTCCCCTTCAGGAGATACACTACGTTTAGGTCTGCGGACACTTGGAGGTTTTACTAACGTCTCAGGTTTTTCCAAGGATGATCCTTCTATAGCTCCAGCTTGGTGATCTAAAGTAGATAACAAAAATTGATGTAAATCTTCCACAGTGGTGTGTGAACCTTTAGGAACTGGTACACGAATAATACTAGCCCTCCCATCATTTTTAGTAAAATGAATATCAATCCATTGCTCGTCAAGAGTACCAATTGTTGAAGGCCATGAATATGGATAGCTTATGCTGTGCAAACCACATACCCAGTCTCCAGAAAAGTATAGAGGTCTTGGTAAATGGACTCGGAATTTATTTGGTCTATTATCTGGATAATCTGAAACATTACTAGGAAGAAAAACAAAGAAAGTATTTGACATTTTTATCAAAATGAAATAATAAACAATTAAATATGCTTTTTATACTAGTTGTGTCTCATGAATCCATTCTCTTTCAGGATAACCTATAAACTTTACTAAAAGATCGTAAGTCCCATCTGATCTCTTCTTCTTTTTTATAACCTTCTCTATCCTATATTCAGTATCAGCATCCTTACGAACGCGAGCTAATTCCTCTCCATAGAATGATCCTTTGAACTTCTCACCCTTATCATCTTGAACTTTGTATCGAATTGGGTGAACATGCTTTTTAACATTCTCTACTTGAAGTATTTCATCACCCCAGTTTGGAATATAACCCTTCTCGAATACACCTTTTCCCAGACTCATTCGAACATAATCTCCTTTCTTAAGTTTTGGTTTTGTCTTTTTAGCTGAAAACACATCGCCATATATCATCTCCCATACCTCTTGAGCGTTGTCAAAATTAACATCTACAGGCCTCATACCATGTACTCTACTTTTTGCTTTATTTATTCCTTCCAAAATTTTAGGGAGGACTTGAATCCAGTCTAAAGTTTTATTTTGGGCAAAATAGCGATAAATACGTTGTTTAATATGTCTAATCGCCCTTTCTGCTAGTGAGGCTTTTACTTCTGAGTGAGTTGGTTCCATCTTGTGAATTTCCTCTTTTTGGAAAAAGTCGTTCATTTGAGAATTTTTAAATTCTTTTCCCTTATCTGAAAATATACGGTGTGGTTTCATAGGCATTTGTTTTATTAAATCATTGAACGCTGTAACCATATTTTCTGCAGTTTTTGATTTTACAGGTACACCAAATATTCTTTTAGATAAAACATCAATTCCCAAAAGTAAATATTTATTTCCTTTGTTGTGTCTTGAGATTGCTTGAAAATCTGCCAAATCTACTTGAACATCTGTCATAAAACCTGCAGGTATAGTCAATGCTCTGTTAAAATGAATACGTTTCGGACGCATCAAAGTATAAGTCCTGTGTCCTTCTAAATAATCTTGGACAACATTTTTAGGTATATGTTTGAGTACTTTTCTAGCCTCCTTCCATAGTCTATCCACACCTGAAAAGGCGGCGGGAGACTCTGGATTATTGTATAAATCTTGTAAAAGTTTAGTATAATCACCCATCTTTACCACAATGAAGGTTTAAATGTTTTATTAATTGCTTCTTTGCGTTTAGCTTTTATAAGCCTTAGCATCCATTCTCTACCTGCTCTTGCTGATTGTTTTTTCGTAACAGGTTTCACCTTTTTCAGAGCAATTAAGGGGCTTTCGTCTGGGCCTTTCCATTTTCGTTTTAACTTTTGACGTCTTCGTACGTCATCTTCTTGTCGAGCCTTTAGCATTGCTGATTGGTCTAGAGGGATTTTTAGTTTTCTTATATCCCTTCTTTTTAATTCCCTTTCTTTTTGTTTCTTCCTAATATTTTCCAGACGTTGATCATCTTTTATTCGTCTTAATTCTGCTTTTTTCTGCTCCAACTCATCAATTTTCTTTCTTTTACCTTCTTCGATATTAATAGATTGCGACCTTTTTGTACCTTGGGGATTTGGTGGTGGCGGAACATATGTAACCTCTTTATAGTATTGCGGGGTGTAAGGTATCTTTTGCTCCCTGATAGCCTTTTTCCTTTCTAAATATTGTCTTTTCTTTTCCCTTTTTCTATAGTCCTCCCCATCATCAATGATTTCTTTTTTAATAGGTTTAGTTTCGTAACTTTCATCTATTAAATGTCTTCTTTTGTCCGTTCCAATCTCATCGACTTGCTTTCTTTTAGAAGGTTTGTAATAGATAGGAGTAGTTGGTTTTTTAGTTTTAGGTTTCAATGTAATTGTTGGTTTAATGTCAGGTAGGATAGGTGGTATAATATTATAAGATGGCGTTTCTTTTGGATATGAACTAAATGACATATCTTCACTCATCCACATATTATCGTCGTCTTCCCCAATATTTGAAGCTGGAAGAGAAGCGGTAGTATTCATAATTGCACCTTTTGGACTAGCAACCATCTCTACCTTAACTGGTCTATTTTGCTGTTCGTTTCGTAATTGCAAATATCGTCTAAGTTCTTGATTATAGTGCACATTTTTTGCACTAGGTGTTTCTCTTTTAAATTTTGTTTTCTCAAGACCTTGACGTACAAAATCCAAGTTTGGTTCACCTGAATCATAGGTTGTTAAACCCTTGTAAATTTCTTCTGGAACTAAAATAAATTTATTTGCCATAATTAATTTTATATTAAGAGGTAGCAGGGGCTTTTATAGTCATCATCCTTGCCATTTCGATGAGCACAGGTGTCAAAAGGGCGGCAAAAACTCCTACTCCGTCACCTTTTTGATTAATAACATGTCTTGCTCCTCGTTCACTCCTAACCCTACTCAAACTTCGCACAAATTCGGCATGAGGTAATAATCTTTTCTTTTGACGTGTTGTAAGTTTGAACCTCTCTTTAACTATATTTAAACAAATTTCAGCTAAAGCTAAAAGTTGTTCATTATTTGATAATTTTAAAAGTCTTTTCCTTTTTCTTTTAGATTTAGTCTTTGACAATAGATGTAAAAATTTTAAGTTTTCATGAATTAATTGATTAACCATTTCCGTTTATAGGAATAAAAATTATCTTTTCATCGTCTTCCTTAAATATGTTTGTCCTAAGACGGAGTGTAGGATCAGAAGAAGCATGCATATCGACGAGTAAGTAACCAAAGGGTTGTTTGGTTGCTTGTCGATAAGAATCAAGAAAGTAATCCAATTGTTTGGGAAATAATTGTACACCTATGTTTCTGATAGATAGCATAGAATTTGGTGATCTCATCAACACAAGATATTGAGAATTTTGTCGTGCTACTTTAATTTTCTTATCGAATAAATTTTGTGTGACAAAAATTACAGAAAAATTTTGATGGTGTGATTTTTTGGTAAATAATTCGGATAAATATTTTTCGTCAACAGAAAGAATTAGATCATCGAGAATTAGCAATAGTGGTTTGGGATATTTTTTAATCAAATCCTCAGGTGGAACTCCTGCAAATACATCAACTCCAGATTTTTGCAAAAGAGGTACAATATTGTTCATCTCACCAAAGCAATAAAGTATGGACTTTGGTTTAGGCTCAATTAGGTCTGAAGCTTCAGAAATAAATTTTAATAACAGTGTACTCTTTCCACTTGAACTAGGACCAGATATAATCATTCCAAAAGGTAATTTAAATTTTAAATCTTTATTCGAGAAAGCTAAGGAATTCATAATGAATTAATTTATGAATATAAAAAATTTTCACTTAAATATCTTTTTAATCGGTTGGTATTCCTGTCACCGTTGCATCTAAACTCTGAAAGAAATCATCCAGCTCTTCTTTTGAAGGAAGTGTATCCAAGGGTTGGGGTGTCTGTGTCACTTCTTCAGGAATTGTGGGGAGAATTTGTGGTTCAATTGGTTCAGTTTTGGGAATATCTGTAGAAGCATTGTATGGTACATTAAAAACTCGACCTTTATTCTTTACTTTGAAAAAGCAATGCCCTGGCAAATCATATAATAAATCAAAAGGAACAAATCGGCTTCCCTCAAACCTGCTGCAATAGACTACAACCCCTTCCTTTACTATTATAAAATCTAGTTCAACTTCTGTGCTCTTACACTTACGGCACTTCCCTCCTTGGTCATAGGGAAGAAAACGGGATGTTGTATAACGGACACTGGAAATTGTAATCCCAGTTGATGAAATGTTAAATTCAACCTCAGGTAATATTTTTGGGTACTTCATTTTTAATAATTAATTTCTCAGTCTTATGTTTCCGTTTATACAAACCTAGAAATATTTGACGTGATGTAAAATAATTTTATCTATACAAAACTGAACAAGTACTGTATAAACCACCAGGGTACTTCATTTTTAATTTAATTTCTCAGTCTTGTCTCGGTTTATACAAACTTAGAAATATTTGATGTGGTGTAAAATTTATACGAAACTAAACAAATATGGAATAAAGCACCACTTTGAATATATTAGATAATTAAAACTGGTAGAGTAATTTAATACTTGAGGGGATGTTGCTATAGTTCGACTCAGGTTCAAGTCTAATTGTAAACTGTCATTGTATCTCTTTATACCATAGTGGCGAAATGGTGTTAACCTATAAAATTCAAAGTCTTCCGCATCCGCCCTAGATCCTTTTAATAGGTGTATTGGGCACTCGCACCTTCCTGGTATAGGTCCTGTAATGTTAATAGGAAGATTCAATAAGTATCTTGGGCATCTACAAGGTTCTTGTTTCCACATATCCTGCCATCTGGGATCATCAACTAGAGATAAGTTTGAAGAGGAAGAAAGAGGAAATAATAAAAATAAGATAAACATTTTGATTAAAGATTGTGGAAAATTGGGGTCTTTTATACCATTTCCATTCAAAATCTCCTGAGAATGATATCTTACGAATCAGCTCGTCGAACCGGTCAGAATGAGTATCTATATTCCTATACTAGGAAAAGTTTCATGTTCCAAGGTTTATAACTCGAGTTTTGAGCTCGATTTTAGTTTGAAACCACTTTGGTACGATTTATCTTATCAAACTGATCAAAATGTCAAAAATGACATATGTCAACTGACACATGTCAAAATGTCAATTGACACATTTCTGGATGTCAATTTACCCACTAAGATGTGTGAGGCTAGGGAATAATTTGGCGAAGTGTTTTTTCAATTATTTTTTAAAAGTACCTCTTGAACCGGTTCAAAAGTACCTACTGAACCCTTTGGGAACTTCTTGAACCTTTAGTGAACAATATAGAGATAGTATAGTATAGTTTAACTACTTTTATTTTTAATTTACCCCTTTTTCCTTTTCTAACAATAATTTTGCAAAATAATTTTTGCATGACCTATTCTATATAATTATAACTTTACAACAATAATTTTTGCAAAATTATTGCATGAATGATTTTTTGTATAATTATTATATATTTTCCCTTTTTACAATAATTTTGTAATTTTTTCAAAATTAAGGTATAAGCGAATAGGAGATGTATAAAGAATAGAGAAGATATTGAAGAGGTGTATTTTAAACTGTTTTAAGAAAAAGTGTGTGAAATCTTGGTTTGAACCGGTTTAAAACCACTTTTTGAACCCTTAAACCTTTTGGAATAATTTTTTTCTTTTTAGATATGTAATCTTTTGATAAATGTGGTAAATCGTGTTTTGAACCGTTTAAACCGGTTTAAAACTACTTCTTTACCCCTTACCCTTTTTGGAAACTCCTTGGACCTTTGGACTCTGACGACGGAGTTGTTGAATGACCATTTAATTAAGGGGGAGGGGCTAAATGGTTGGACCCCGCTGCCCCCGCGACTTCTCGGGGTGACTAACTACTATGGTGAAAAAATTTTCGTGCGGACTCATACAGGGGGGTGAGATATAGGCCTCCGAAAATCGAAAAACCATAGGGGACCAAGCACTTTTTTGGGTAAAAATTCGAATATGTAAATTATACCTCATTCGAAAGAGCTCGTCGAGCTGAGTCGAATGACACTAAAATCAACGAAATCTGACTTGATTTGACAAAGTTATGACCGTTTGTTTTTACCCCGCACACAAGGTCTTCGCGGAAAAAAGTTTTTGCCGCTGCGGAGGAAGCCGGGCATGAATAGCGGAACGACGGCCGCCGCTTCGCTACGGTCGCCGCGAGCACGACCGCAGCGAAGCACAGCCATCGTGTAGCGAAGACCATGCCCGGCCTACCCTCCGTAGCAGCACAAAAATTTTTTCCAGCGAAGATTCAGTTGGTCATAACTTTGTTCATAATCATCCAAGCGAGCTGATTTTGGTGTCATTCGACTCAGCTCGTCGAGCCCTTTCGAATGAGCTATTATTTGTACATTCGAATTTTTCACCCCAAAAATCCCCCCATAAATTTGACCATTTCGAGCCCTATATCTCAGCCCGTTTATGAGTCCGCATGAAAATTTTTTAACCATTCGACTCAACTCGACGAGCTCTTTCGAATGACATATAATTCGACCTATTTCGACTCTGTTCGTTTTCCGAAATTATTCCGCTATAAATTTTAAAATTGATAAAAAAACTTAAACATTAAAAAAATTTTTTTTTATTTCGCTTGTATATTAAAAATGTTAATAAAAAAATTTAAATAAACTCTATATTGTTAGAAAAAAGTGAAAATATATTTTATTGTTTGCCTACATATTTGGTAATATTTTTATATTTTTTCTATTCACATTGTATTTTTTTATCATAAAATATTGATCATCGTTTTTAAAACGTTTTTTTTTCGTATTAGCGTTTTTATTCAAATACCTTTGTTTAAATAGAGAGAAAAAATATTATTGTAAGGCGGCCAAGTTGTCCTCACAGCCTGCTTAAACCCGAGGTGTGTCCGAGATTTAACTGATGTCAACTAACACAACAATAACAATTTATCCGATGTAGAAATTAACAATGTGTAGGCGAAGGGAATGGAACAGGGACTGGGCCATTAGGGCGCGGGGCATAAAACAGTGAGTTGTTTATCAAAAAAGATAAAATTTTGCAATCATAACTCTCATGCCTTTATCTACGTTCTCCAAAAATTTTAGAATTTTTGATCAAGAATTTCGGAAATTGTGGCCAAAAATGTTGATTTTCCGAAAAAACCCTAATTTTTCGCGGTTTATCGACTATAACTTCAGAAATATTCGATGAAAAATTCTGAAATTTCTGGAGAAGGTAGTCAAGGATGTTAAAAAAATTTGAGAAAATTTTTATGAAATTAGGTTTCGCCTAAGTGTCAGTTTCTAGTGCTGGCGCCCTAATGGCCCCGCGCCCTTATGACCCCAACCCTGGGACAGACGAAGGAGATCAGTGACTAGCCCCGCTAGTATGATCCGACTAGACTGACGCTTATACTGGCTTTTATACTAAACACTTTAAGGGCTGACGCCCATACACAACAAAGCCTTGTAAATAAGGCAAAAAGCTCTCGAATACTTTGACTCTACTTGAAATAAGTGACGAATAAAACGATCAGTCGGAGGTGGAATGGTCGAGAACTTAATATGTATTATTTCATTTAATATCTATTTAATATCAAAGGAAAATCAGTTCGTGTTGAGGTTAAAATTAAGGATGATTTGGAAACAAAAAAAGGGAATTTATTTGTTTATAAAATGTCGAAAAAAAGAAACGTTTTGTAGTGAAAACAATTGAAAAGAAAATTTTTATTTTCGAAATAAATGACAAAAATAAATATTAAATAGTATGTATAAGAAAATAAATATATAAATATATATTAATAAAAACATTTTTTGTATTAAAAATAAAAATGTTGATTTAAATTGCCAATAAATAACCCAAGTCTCCAATTGTTTCGACTTCACTAATTGTAGCATTATTAATTTGGTATTGGTCTTTGGGATTATTTTTACCAATGTGAATCACAAATGTCTTATTAGGCGCAATACCTATTTTCCATGTTTTTGCCCATGTTTCTATATTTCTAAGTGCATTAACTAGCTGACTTCGTTCTGTTTTAGTATTATGTACAACATATACTTTTACATCATCTGCAAACATTCTAATTGATACTCCATTCGGAATAGCCTCTGTTAAGTCATTGATGTAAATCAATAACATTAGTGGGCCTATTACTGAACCTTGTGGTACTCCAGTGATAATTTTTATTATGAGACAATTGTTCTCCAATTTTTACTTGAAATGTTCTGAAAGATAAGAATTCTTCAATCCATTTAAGGATTTTTCCTTGTATACCAATATCGAAGAGCTTTTTTTAATAAGGGATCATGTGGAACTGAGTCAAATGCTTTTTGAAAATCAATAAAGAGTAAACTTGAAAGATAATTTGAAAGATAATTTCAAGTAAACTTGAAGATAATTTTTAGTGATTTGGGCAGTAACTTAAAATTTTTAAAATTATTTAAAATTGATAAAAATTTCTCAATCCCTCTCTCCCTCACACATTCCCACAATTGAAGGTGATGGGTTTCGTTTATTTTTCCAAGAACCTTTTTTCTTTCATTTCTTTTTTTCCTCTCCCCTCCATGAATGCACCCGTGTTTTTGTTGTTGTCATCGTCGACCGGTCATGACTTTCATCATTTAATTTTATTTGTCGTTGACGGCGCACATATAAATATTTTTATATAAATTTTGCCGCTGGCGACTTGCCCTCAGGACCTTCTCCTACTTGTTCCTTCCTTTACTCATCTCACCTCCTACACATTTTCTTTACTTTTAATCATTCAACTTTTGCTTAATATATAAATATAAATATACTTTCACTTTAAGAACAAAAAATACGACTGGATGTAAAGGTTTAACCAAACCGGAATCAAAAATCGGAGGTCATTAAGGGGGGTACACCCCAACTTACCGCGAGCCCAACTTACCGCAGAGCTATAACTTCGTTCAGAATTGTCAAATCCGGGACGCCTTGGTATGGTTCGATTTAGCTCGTCGAGGCGCATTGAAACATATCAGGGCTACTGGATTTGACAATTCTGAAAAAAGTTATAGCTCTGCGGTAAGTTGGCCTGCTCCCCACTAAGGGTATTCAAAAACTGGAATCGAAAACCTGTGAACAAAACCGGAGGGGTTCCGTTTTAAAAATACACTTCTAAGTTTGTTGGGTGCGAGGCAGGAGTGTGCCACTTTCGCTTTTTAAATTAACGTTCGCATCTTAATTAGACTTCCGGCACATGCCTGGTGTGTGGCAAAGCCCCGTTTTCCCAAAATACAGCCTTGCCAAACTCACAT